TCTCTCTCTCTCTCTCTCTCTCTCTCTCTCAGGTAACTCATCGTCAGATTGAACAGATGCTTTGGGACTCGACAGACAGCAAGAACAAACTGGCCTACGAGAAGGGCAAGCTGCAGGTCTGTTTCACACAGACACACACGTTGCATGTATATGGATTTATTGTACACATTTTGCACAGTGTGACATACAATGATGCTTGAATAGTCATATGATGAACACACATCATATGTCAGAAACACACACCAGGCTTCAAATGAACAGACCGTGTGTGTGTGTGTGTGTGTGTGTGTGTGTTTACACAGGCACGAGTGCAGCAGATGGCCACTGACCTGAAGACATTGAAAGCAGAATGTACTCAACACTGTCAGAGCAACACTGCGCTGCAGAACACTTACACACAGGTAAACACACACACACTCCTCTGTCTAACAACCACTTTCACAAGCTCTCTGCCTCTCAGGTGTGTGAAACTGAACAGCATGAATGCAGAAAAGCAACTGAAACTGGTCAAATTTTAACACTGTTTATTGATTAAAGGGTTCATATCATGAGGAATCAGATTTACCAACATCTTTTGAGGTCAAATAGTTTGCTGTACTTCCTCTCCAGTCCAAAAAGACAGTCTATTATAAATAAACTAAATAATAAATATACTAAGCAACAAAACTTCTTCATTTAAACGCCACAAGATTTCTGTAGTGCAGAGCCAGTATTACAGTTCTGGCTGATACCTGACGAGCCAAAAATTATTTTCTTGATATGACTGATTTTAAAATTAAAACTTAAAAGTAAATGAAATTAAGAAAACACTAAAAACTAAAACCAGTCGTTTTAAACGCTACAAGTGCATGTTAAACATCACAGCATTATAATGTACAATATGAAAATGGATATTCATTCTGAGATTAGATTTAACAGTGTTATTAAATGATTTGTATTTTCTATGATATCGGTCATTAACTGACATGGTGCCATTATAACTTGCATCCCTAGATTCTAGACATTAGAAAGCAAAACATTAACATATGACTAGCATTTAACAATGTCCATTCTGTGTTTATAATTGTATCCTGCCGAGCCAGAACAATATAATACTAGCAGAACAGAGGATTCGTGCATCTCATTTCAGTGCTCATTGTTTTATGTGGTTGTTATGGAATGATGGAGCATTTAAAAACTGTGTGAGAGCAGCAAAGTGTTTTTGGGCGTAGGGTGCAAAATGTTGATTTAAAACAAAATAATGGTTGTTTTTCAGAACCAAAAACTTTATAAAAGAACTTTAAGGGGAAATATTAAATAATGCATGATAATGACCCCTTCAACTAGTGAACTACTGAATATTTAACACTCTTTCTTTCTTATTCTCAGATGCAGAGAGAAAATCAGACACTAAAAGAGCAACTCTGTGCACTTCAGCAACAGCACAGAGACACGGTGAGTTTTTCATAAGAAAGACAATTAAAACCTATTAGTTGAATTAACAAAAGATCAATTTTTATGTTTTGTGCGTAACAGAATGAAGTAGCACAAACTCTGGAGAACGTCCTGTCGTCTCACGCTCGTCTGCAGCAGAACACACAGACACTGCATGCAGAGCTGAGAGAAAGAGCACAGGAACTACACACACTCGGGAGAGAGAGGTGTGTGTGAGAGAGACTACAAGAGGACAAACGTCTGATTAAAGGAACAGAGTCAATGCAACTTAACGGGGGACTCGTTTATTGTTGCACTGGCCCATATGGCAGGACTTGTGGCATGGATGTAGCATTACCCAAAAGTTTCAGTGTAACTCATTGTAGAAGTGCTGTATTCACAGTGAGCATGTTTAAAGGAATAGTTCAGCCAAAAATGTACATTTTCTGAAAATTTACTCACCTTCAGGCAATCCAAGACAGAGATGAGTTTGTTAATACTTAATAAAGTTAACACTTAATAAAGAGCTTTAATATTTGCTAATTTCTCTGGAATATTTGCTAATTTCTAGCCCTATAGACATCCATTATAAGTGCATTACTGCAAACATGATTTTTGTGTGTTTTCACTCAGTGATTGTTTGTAGTAATCAGCATTATGTTGTGTGTTTGTCAGACTGCAGGCTATGGAAGAGATTCAGAGGCTTGAAGCTGAAGTAGAGAATCACAACGCAAGGAACAATGAGGAGGTAAATGCACACAAACGCACCGATGACCAAATAAATGTCAAATAAATAAGAGATGTGATGGAGTTGTTGAACTGTTTACATATGTTTGTAAGGTTGAATCTTTGCAGAAAGCACTTAACGAAGCTCAGCTGGGCAACAGGACCCAGGAGACAGCTGTCAATCATCAGCAGATGCTGGAACGCACCATCCAGAGGCTTCAGGGGGAGCTCAGCTGTGCCGTGAAGGATGGAGCGACCCTGAGAGAAGAGAGAGATCAGATAAAGAGTAAGGTCAGTTGAAAGTTCTTTTATAAGTTAAAAGAAAAGGACACAAGCAATGTTGTTTAAATGTAAATGAATGATACAGATAGTTCTGGCACTGAACCACATTTGAAACATTTATTATTATTATTATTATTATTATTATTGGTAGTGGTAGTAGCAGTAGCAATATGTATTATTATATTATATTATATATAATGTATTAAAAGGTATCATAATTATATATGATAAATTATACATAATATACATATACACATTTTATAATGTATTATAATTATTAAAATGATTAATTTGATACATCAAATATATTTTTATTAATAATAATTATAATGATAATGACTAACAAAATTATAATAATAATAATAATAATAATACTACAATGTTTTATTCAATTATACATAATTATATAATTAATATACATAAACGCATTATACAATTTATCATAATTATTAACATTATTAATTTAATTATAATGTATTATAAGGTATCATAATTATATATGATAAATTATACATAATATACATATACACATTTTATAATGTATTATAATTATTAAAATGATTAATTTGATACATCAAATATATTTTTATTAATAATAATTATAATGATAATGACTAACAAAATTATAATAATAATAATAATACTACAATGTTTTATTCAATTATACATAATTATATAATTAATATACATAAACGCATTATACAATTTATCATAATTATTAACATTATTAATTTAATTATAATGTATTATAAGGTATCATAATTATATATGATAAATTATACATAATATACATATACACACCAAATAAATGTCAAATAAATAAGAGATGTGATGGAGTTGTTGAACTGTTTACATATGTTTGTAAGGTTGAATCTTTGCAGAAAGCACTTGACGAAGCTCAGCTGGGCAACAGGAAACTTGCCCAGAGTTTAGAGCAGGCCTTACGGGAAAACCACAATGCTCAGGAGAAACTAAACGCCCTCAGCGAGAGGTAAGGGAAGTTGTTTATGGTATATTATGAACATTATGGTTTACCAGTCACTGATATATGGTGCATGCCTAAATTTTTGCATGGATTATCTGTTCGTGTTGGATTGTTCATGTATTTTCTGTATGCACGTGTCCAAGGTCTATTATGTATTTAACTATAAGCTATGTTCAAATAAAGGACCCTGTTGTTTTCTTGAGTTCACGTTATACATAATTACATCAGCAGGGAGGTGGAGCTTAAAGATGCGAGAGCAGAGATCCGTCGATTGACAGAACATGTAGATTCCCTCAAGAACTTGCTCAAAAGAGAAAAAGATTCTGGGAGGAAGTCGGCACAGAGGGTAATATTAAATAATCTTAATATTTTTGTAAATTAGTTGTGTCTTGGTAGATTTTAATGTTCAGCATTTTGATCTACTCTAGTTTTTTAAGTGCTTTATAAATATATATGACTATGATTCAGTTCTATTTTGATTCACTACTCCTGTTTTCTATATAGCTGAAGAAGGCACTAAATGATGCATCGGCAAAGTCAGGTGACCTCTCACGAGCCAATCAGGAGCTTCGAGAGAAGGTGTCTGAGCTGGAGAAGTTGGTGTCCAATCAGAAGTCTCAACTGAGCCAGTATCTGGACAACAGAACAGCTCTGAAACACTCTCTGAGAATCAAGGTGTGTCACTTTACTCACAGTTGACATCTCTGTACTGGATACAGGCAGAGCTTTTTGCGTCATCTTTGCCTTCCTGACAGGATTTAGAAGCAGAAATTGAAAGTCTTGAAGAAGCAAAGGATGAATATAAGAGGAGGAGTTATGAACAGGTATGCATTCAAACTTGTTTATATACAGACAAGTGAAAATCGCCTCTCTGAATGTTATGCTAAGCCAAATATTTTTAAAATCCCAGTTGATGGTTTTTTGAACGACTATTCTGTCTTAACCCAAAAAAGATGTATGTATCATATTTTATACATGAATTTCTAAGGCCTCTACATCTTTTACATAATACTGTCCCAAAAACCTTTTCTACAGCATGTCTTCTGCCCCCTTGCGGATTATCCATGCAGATCAATAAGTTGAATAACTTTATTTATATTTTACTCGCCTTAATATTTCATTAATATTAATATATAATTTCATTGTTTATAAGAAATGTGTTGAAGTGCTGAATTTGAGGCATATTTGAATCGTAATTTTTATAATGCATTTCAGTTTGTTGAGCACAATAAAATTCAAGTATTAAATTGAATAAAATTTAGTTCATTTGAATTTTGCTTAGATGTATTTAAAGTGATTTCCAATCTAATACTATTATTCATTAGATTGGAATTATTATTTTACATATTCCTCGCAAAAAATACATTTAAGTATTGTGAATAATAATAGGAGCACTGTTCATCAAACTTGATTTGAAGTTTGACCATAATTGTCTTGAAATGTATTGTTGAAGGCAGAAAATGTATTATACAAGCGCTGCTTTACTAGCTTGAACAGTCGAAAAAGTTTAATTTCTAAATTCACCCTTTGAAGCACTGCTGCTAACAATATTAGAGCTAAAATCCTAAGAAAATTTGGATAATCTCTATATAACCAACTTGCTGGACTACAGTGAACGTCCCGACCGATCCATCCCTATTAAAAATGATATCTCACAGTGTGTTATGTGTGTGTTTCAGTCTCAGTCTTTGCTCCAGCTGCGTTCTGAGATGGTTTCTCTCCAGTCTGAGCTGCAGTGTCTGTATTCCACTCAGCAGGCGGAGCTACAGGCCGAAAGAGATCTCAATCGCACTCTACAGGAGAAATGTCGGGTCAGCACTCTCTTGTTCACCTTAAATCTGTGACACTGTCCCAGATGGTGCCCTCAGCTCTTGTGGTCCATGTGAAATTACAGGAACCATTAGTACCATCCTCCTTTTCTGCCCATCTTTTCTTCTTTCATCTCTTTCTCAGTTTCTGTTTGCTTTGTGATTCTCTCTCCTCATTTTCCTTCCTCTGTGCAGTATCAGCAAGCCACAGTTCCCTTCATCTTCCTGTCTGTTTGCCCTTCAGGCCATCAATACTGCAAGACCAACAAAGTGCTGGAGAATTGCCATTATGTAAAGGAATAATCAGAGGTTTTGTGCTGAATGCTGCTATTATGTGTGTGCAGCACCTGGAAGAGAGTTTGAAACGGCTCCAGGATGAGAGGGATGAGGCAGAAGTGAGACTCAGGGAAGTTTATCTGGAGTCACAGCAGGTAAACAAACCCCATCATCATCCGTTTATACACTAGCAATAATCATAGAGACATATAATGAGATAATTTTTATTGTTGAGTAAACTATCCCTTTAAACTGAATCCGAATGCTGTTGTGTTTCCAATATGATCGTCTCCTGTGTTCTAAAATCCTGAAATTGATGCTCAAAAGCATGTCAGACTTTAGGATGCCGCCTCCTTCTCTGATCACAGCCAGTGTTGAAATCATTCAAGCTCTCCAGAGGATGGAAATTTCTTTTGCCTCTCAATTTTGCCTTTGATTTGATTCCTTCATTTGCATCCCGCTTCTCTGTTCCTCAGATCACAGAGAACATGGATGAGGACCACAGAGGGCTCTGCTCTAAATCTGAGAGCTTTAATGGCCAGGCTGAGCCACAGAAACTCACAGAGAGCTTTTGCAAGATGGGAAAAGACGGCACATGGTCCACTTCAGCTCAGGTAGCAAATGAGACATGATTCATGAAATTATTTCATACTGTTTGTTTAAAATTCATTAAAAAGGCTCCTAAAAATTCAGTGATCAATTGTACAGAAGCATGTTTAGAAGAATTTTAACTGGTTTGGGAAATGGATTAAGAAAATACATTTTCAAATGATAAAAAAAAAAAAAAAAAAGGAATTTAATTGGATCTATTCATTTATTATTTTGATACATTTTACAATCAGTAGCAAGGATGCATTAAATTAATCAAAATGTATGTTTCCAAAGATTTCTGTTTTTAAATAAATGCGGTTCTATTGAAATTTCTATTAATCAATAAATAAAAAAGGTTTCCACAAAAATATGAAGCAGCAAAACGGTTTTCAACATTGCTAATAATAAGAAATCAGCATATTAGAATGATTTCTGAAGGATCTGAAGGATAATGATGCTGAAAATTCAGCTTTGCATCACAGGAATAAATTACATTTTAAAATATATTTAAATAGCAAACAGTTATTTTAAGTTGCAATAGTATTTCACAATATTACTGTTTTTACCGTATAATTATCTAATTAATTTCTGTTAATTTTTTTTTCTTTCACAATTTTTTTTTCCAAATAAACTCTACCAACCTCAGACTTTTGAATGGTAGTGTATATTAAAAATATAGATTAAAAAAAAAATACAGATACAGGTATATGTTTGTCCAAAGTGTCTATTTTTTTACTTTCAAATTCATTCAACTTGCGCTCAATGACATCTCTGGTCCTTCTGTATGTTTTTATTTGTGACCTGAAGGCTATTCTCTGTTTATAGACTCGTGTTTGCTTTTTTGACCCTGAACTGGAGCCCTGGGCCTCAGCTCTTCAGCGTTGGGAGATCAAGAAAGAGCTGGGACGCATCGCTGGCAGTTACACACCCACAGGACATGTACGTGCGCTGACCACCTGATAACAGCCTCCACGGAGAAGTGCATCAAAAACCCTTAGATCATGCATGTAATCTGCTTGAAAGAATTGTTTACAGTAGGTGTGTTTGTATGCAAGTACATATCAAACATATTTACCATAAACATGTATTTGATTGCTTGAAACTAAAAAATGCACTAGCAAAAATATGTTATGTGTGTGTGTTGAAAGACACAGATGGTCAGCTCATAAAATGAAGTGGAAACAGAGCTGCACTTTATGACCACATGCAGCTAATTACTCACAACTTATGTTAAACATGTTCTTTCCCTGCAGCCCACAACAAAGTTATTCAATTGCAATAAAACAAGGTCAAACTCCTATACCTGCTAAATAAAACCCCAGAAAGTACAAATATAACTGCAAGGGAGGTGAGGTCTTGCTGTAAGAAAGGGACAACCTCTATTTTGTGTGTATATTCAGGTAATGTATTTATATGTTTTTTATTGGTATATAATTTGTCATGCCAATAAAGCCACTTGAACCTGGAAAAACAATGTATTATATATATATACAGTGGGTACGGAAAGTATTCAGACCCCCTTAAATTTTTCACTCTGTTATATTGCAGCCATTAAAAAATTAACTTAAATGATTTTAGCAAATGGCTGAAATATAACAAAGAGTGAAAAATTTAAGGGGGTCTGAATACTTTCCGTACCCACTGTGTATATATATATATATATATATATATATATATAAAATATACACAAATATATATATATATACATATATATATATACACACACACATATATATATATATACACACATATACACACACACACACACATACCAAAGAATTTGATCCATCCAGTAATTCGGGATTATTAATAAAGATTTTGAAGTAATTTTATTCATAATATTATTTTTAAAATATATTTCCAAGGGAATTCATTGCTCAAAAGATGTTACTTCTCTTGGGCGTTTAGTAGTGTCTACAAACTGAACACGCCTTTCTCCCAAACCCCGCCCATCACTGATGTGTCAGACCAATCAGAACACGTAAAAAGCCAGCCCTTGTACTCTGATTGGCTAAAAACCTGTGGGCCGCTCCTCTTGAGTATGTTACGGAAACAGGTGCTATTTCTCAATACACACATTTCAGTGTTATAAGTCACGTAATGCGGGCGTTTTATGTTTGTTATTAAAAAAACAATTTGCAAAAGTTTGTGTGTAACAGAACACTAACTAAGCTCTGTGTATCGTCTCCTCGTCTCCCCCTGTCGGTGGTAGGGACTCACTGTCACTACAGATGTTTTTTTTTCTTTTTTCACCTCCTCCTTGTCTCGTGCCCCCGAGAGAGAGAGAGCGAGCGAGCGAGCGAGAGAGAGGGGCTCCGGTACTGCCACGTAATCTCGGTCGAGCCCCCGCTCACTGACTCAAAACCTCCGGGAACCGTGACAACGACTGCGGAAAATTAAAAACACACTGTACGAAACCCCTCCGGGCGGTGCACAGACTGCAGCGGTAAGCGAAAAGTGCGTGGAAGTGTCCCCGCATTGCACGAGACGCTGTCCACATTTAGCGCATTCTCACAAGCAGCAGGGCGATCCGCGTGTGTGAAGTGGAGAAGTGGAGCCCGGATAGTTTTCAAGTCGTTTCGCATGCAACAGGTCGTTGATTTGTTGTCGGTAGCAACTCGTTTCATCGTAAACACCGACGCGCAACTTCGACGCAGAAGAGAAAGCGTGGCTCGTGCTGTCATGTGGTAGATTTCTAGTATGTTCTGTACTGTATTAGCCTGCTCTGAGACTGCTTTTCTCAAACGCTGTTTTAGTGTGTCTCGAGCAGAGATACTGAGATCTGTAACTTTTGTTTTCACGTGCAGAGAAGTTCAACACACCCACCTGTAGAACTGATTCATAATGTGACATGAATCGGCATGAATTTACACAGCATGGCTTATCATGTTCATGTTATGCTGTGTTGTGCTTGGTGGGGTTGGAATGTCTGTGGAGTTGTGTTCTAGAGTGAGTTAAGGTAATCTAGGGCATTATTATACATATTAATAAGTTGTGCACCAACAAATGAGATTTTATCAAATCAACTTAGATCAAATGTGGTAATGTTTCATGATTCACCAATATAAATCGGCCAGGTCGATAATAGGACATAATTTTGTGGCATTGGGAATTAATAAAACAGTTTAGTCCGAAGTTTCTGAATTAAATACACACTTTTCTAGTTTGTGAGCAAATCAGTTCATTTGAATTGGTTCTTTTCATTGAATCAGTCAAACAAATTGGCCAGATTGATTATTTAGTCTTATTCAAATTTATTTTAAAATCCTCCTCCACAAATCCCAAATGAAATCATGTTTTAGTTCAAGAAGCTACAAGTGTTTTTTGTCAGTAGATTTTGAACAATACTGTTTTAAAGTTTTTTTAAATTATTATTATTTTAATTAATTTTTTCAACAAGTGTTTCATATGAGTGTCTACATCTCATTTGCAGTCGTTAAATTGTTCCTAAATTGTATTATATGGTAACACTTTACAATAAGGTTCATTAGTTAACTACTTTAGTTACATTAACTAAGCATGAACAATACTTCGACAGCATTTATTAATCTTAGTTAATTTCAACATTTACTAATGCATTATTAAAATCAAAAGTTGTGCTTGTTAACATAAGTTAATGCACTGTGAATTAACATGAACAATGAACGAGTGTATTTTCATTAACTAACATTAACAAAGATGAATAAATACTGTAATAAATGTATTGCTCATTGTTCATTCATGTTAGTTAATACATAAACTAACATTAACTAATGGAACCTTATTGTAAAGTGTTACCATTATATGTATTAGCATTTATATTTATGGCTAGACATCAGTATTAACATCGGTCACTGATCGACTACTAGTAAAGTGAACATTTACTCAGAGATAAAGTAAGAAATCAGAGCCTCCTGTCCCAGATTAGCCTAACTCACCTGAGCTGATCTGCAAGATACTGCTGTTTGTAAAGTGAAAGTTGACTTGTTTTTTTGTTTGTAAAAGTGTTTAGTTTAACTTTGTATAGAGTTTATTTTTTCCCTCAAGTGAGTAGTTCATTATGGGACACACTTAATGTGTGCACAAAATCTTAAGATTCAGGATACAACACCCAGTTCCTGTTTGTCTTGGTGGGAATTGTCCACGGCTGCGCACGCGCTGCTACATTCAGATTTCTTACTGCTGGCCTTTGCTCAGTTGCCATGACTACAGGTGAAAAAAAAACTTTATAAAGGTGTGAAGCCACAGATATTGAGCAATATTTCATGCACATTTTTTATTTTGTAGTGACAGCAGCATTCTACAGTGTGACAAGCTATACTCCACCCTAAACACCTTTAAATTATTATGCATTCATGATTTAAATGACATACTTAAAAATAAAAAAAATCAGGATAATTTAACAGAAAAATGCACAATTTTTTTAAATTTTTTTTATTATTTTTTAATAATATATTAAGATTATAATTTATTAATAAAGTATTAATATTTTTAATATACACTCCTGGTGTATTCACTCCCCTCTTATCAAAATATAATAACTTGCTGTGCCTCTGAAACAACTTTTCCACTGACTTCACATCCAGTCAAATCCTAATGGATGAAATCAAAATCTTTTAATAATTCAAGTTCTTTCAATAATTATGCATTTATAATTCATATGACATACTTAAAAATTAATTTGTCACACTGCAGGATCGTTTTACTGATAAAAAGCAAAGGGATTAAAAACCTAAAGTCAAATAAAAATGCATCCGTTATTAATAATATATAAATATTATAATTTATTAGTATGTTAGTTTTTGTTTAAATATACATTCCTGGTACTGTTGTGCAGAATTCATCACTGCAATTAAAAAAAAAAAATCTTAAATTGTATGTGTTTTCACAGGACCGTGTATTTTGGGTTTTCATCTGGGATCGCCGGTGACCCGCTGTGTGGAAACGCACTGAGCCATGCGCCAGTTGAAGGGCAAGCCGAAGAAGGAGTCGTGGAAGGACAAAAAGGAGCGCAAACAGGCCATGCATGAGGCGCGGGAGCAGGTGACAACTATCGTTCTACCAACGCTCGCTGTGCTCGTGCTGCTCATCGTCCTCTTGGTCTACGTGGCGACGAGACCCGGAGCCATCGAGTAAAAAGACTCCAAATAGCCAAATCTCCTCTGCCTTTGTCTTTCTCTTTCATTTCCCCTTGTTCCTTCCCAATGCCGAGTTCGGTGGATGAATTGGACACAATCATAAGGTTGAATGGATTGATAAAGGAGTGGTTTTCTGTGCCATGCTTGTATGTTGAAGGAGTCTTCCATTTTGGCTTCTGACTGAGCCTCTCCCAGCAACCAGCATTCACGTCTGTGGCGGCCATGTTGGCTCCAAATGCATTTACAGGGTTCTAGTTTCATGCCAAAGCACCTGAGACGCAGGAGACTCAGACTGACCCAGGAACCGGGCCAGATCTGATGCCTCTGTGCTCAGAGTCAGTACAACTGAGAAGTGACTGTAGTATTGCACATGTCTGTAGCATGCAAACTTATGCACACACACACACACACTCACTCACTTGAACATTGATGGGCGTCACATGAAACCATTAATGACTGAAATGAATGTTACCCAGAATGTATATTTCTGAATGCTCCTTACCGAATGCCTCTTAACAAGCAGTTGCTGATGTTTTTGGCTGAAGTGTGTGTGTGTGTGTGTGTGTGTGTGTGCGGAG